GGTTTAGGGACTCCGCTGTGACCCGCTACTCCACATGCTCATTTAATTTAATTTCCCTGGCTTTTGTCTGCAGAACACCTTCTACCCCTTTCAGCAGTAAAGAGCCAAAAGCCCAAAGCTAATATTTATGCTTCAGATCTCCTTGATGATGCAATCCAGCAACAAATCACTACTTAAATAATCCAGCCATTTAATCATCCAGAAATGTGTAGAAATAAGAGGATTAGCCTCCTATCCCAGGGAATTGTATTTTACAGACTCTAGATTTTTCCTAATAAAACAACAAGAGCAGCTCACGGTATTTTCAATATAAATCCAAGCACCCAAAGCTGCAGAACAAGCTGTTGGGGCAGGAAGGGGCTGCTTTGCCACTGTCTCAAACAAAGTTCTTGCTGACTGCGCCATTGGAGAGAGCTGAGCTGCTGGTGAGATGTGTGAACCCCACACATTTGGACACAGCTGACCTCCCTGCAGGGTTCACAGTGCTGGGCACCAACGTGGGCATCCCAGTTGTGCCAGTGCTGTCCCTGCGCTGTTCTCCTGCAGCCAAAGAGACGATGAACTCTTTCCTACAGAAGGCTGTTCTCCCCTCTGCCACCACAAGCAGTGCTTTACTCATCTTTTTATAGGCGCTTCGTCCACAAAACTGAATATAAATCAGGGACGATGTAATTTTAGCATGTGGGAGGATTATTTTTAACAGCCTCTGAGCTCAACATAAATCAGGACAGAGGCTGCAGACAGACGCTGTGTGCAGGATGGGCAGAGCAGCTCCTTACACACTGCTGGGACAGCGGGCAGCCCTGGGCTCACTCTGCTCAGCCCAGCACTGCAGTGGGGGATTCCTGCACATAAACATCAGCCCTGTTTACAAGGAGGGATCAGACCCTGCGCTCAGTGCATGCTGCCAAGCTGGCAGCCACCAGTGTCCTTCAGATGCAAGGTGACAACTGCCCTGAGCGGGGCAGTCAGGGTGGCTTTCATCACGCTGGCAGGGGGGCACAGCAAGCTGCGATGCCATCCCTGTGCCACAGCACCCTGCTTGTCCAGCACAGGCACTGCCATTTGCCAGCAGTTCATCCACTTTCACAATTTCAAGAGGGCCGCTCACGCCTGCCAGGATTATTGCTTGTAATTATTCATGCTGTGCTGTGAGCAGTGAAGCTTCTCTCAGAAGAATAGCAGCTCTGCTTCCAATTCCTTCAGGCCACCTTAAGCTGACTGCTGCCAGCTCTGAAGAGCTCTCAGCCTTCGTGCCCAGCCCCCAGGTGCCACGCACACAACTCTGGCACGTTGAGTCCCACTGGCTGCAGGGATGCAGAGCTCACCCTGCTATGGGCCACCACCAAGAAGTGTCCCACTGGAAGGCAACAGAGGCCACACACGTTCTGCAAAAGTCAGCATTGGATGTAACAGAGATCACAAAAGGGAGCAGAAAACAGCAAAGACAGCTCACTGAGAGAAAGCTCCTTAACCAAAACCGACTGCAAGGACATGACTGCATGCTGGGCAGCCAGCAGCGGCTGCTCCCTGATCCTCAGCTCTGTTCTGGGGAAGGCACAGCTGGGAGCCCAATGTCTGCACCACTGCTGTTACAGATAGAAGGACAGAGCAGAGATCTGGTGGGGATGGAGCACAGCTCCTGGGTGATGCCTCCACCCCATGCCAGCCCAGCAGCCGCTCCAAGCCAGGATGAGGCAACAGCAGCCGGCACCGCCAGCAGCTCCAGCAGGGCACGTGGCCGCAGTGCAAGTGCTCTGCAGTGACTTTAAGCTAAAGGATTCCACCTCAGACAACCCGTGTCAGCCTCAAGCAGACAGTTTTGCTGGCTGGACCTTTGATCCCTGTCTGCAAATAGCTTCCACCAGGCAGCACGGGAGGATCCAGGGAATGGCAGGCCCTGAGCTGAGAACAGCTGTAGCTGCCGGGGTCAGGGTTGGAGCATGTTAGCATGCAAGTGTGAAGCACGCACGGGAGCTGCCAGGTCCAAAAGCAGACAGGCTCCTCCGTATCAGCTTTTTCATCCCCTGCTCTCTGGCAGGCTGCCTAGCACGCAGGCTGAGTTCAGCCAGAACGCTTTCACAGGAGCAGAGTGCAGTCACCTTTTTTGCAAAGCACTTGGCAGGAGGAGCAGGCAGGGTAGTGAGGTAGGCAGTAAAATCCCGTTAACTTCACTGGGAAGAGTTCAGCTAATCCTACAGGCTTCTGGTGCTTACATGCTTAGCAGTGATTCACTGCTGTCGAGGCAAAGGGGTGGAACACGACCTGGAATAAGATTGATGCCCTGAACTTTCATACCATATCCTGAACTGTTTTGAGACAGATTCCAGAAAAGCCCAGGTTCAAGAACAGATCTACTGCAGCTCGCTGTGAGAAGTCTGTGATTCCAAGGTCGAGCCTGCATGTTATTCTTCTGCTTTTTATTACTCAGCAGAGGCTGCAGCCAATTAATGCCAAGAACATCCAAGCAACACAGGCAACGGAGCCCAGAGCCTCCACCTTATGCCAGTAGGAAACTCTGATGTTCCAGAGCTGGCAGGAAGAACGGGCAGCACTAACTGCAGACTTCAGCCCATTGTGGTAGGAATTTGTTACCTCAAAAGGTAAACACAAACTCAGTTCAGCAAACTGAGTGTACAGCAGTGTTTGCCAAGAATACCAAAGAACTTAACTACAAGCAAACTAATCAAGATTCTTCTGACACCAGGCTGGCCTGCAGAAAGCACAGAGCATCCACTGCTCATCAGTTCTCTTCCAAAGAAGCTGACTTGAAGTGCTGAAATGCTGCTGGCTGCTAGCTACAGGAACTAGAGATCACGAAAACAAGCCTCAGAACAAAAGCACTGAAGAGCTGCTTTCACCAGTGGGCTCCACGCCTCTGCAAAACGGAGTGGTGCATCCCACTGGAATATGGTTTGATCCAGCTTGCCAATGGAAGGACTGGCAGAAGAAACAAAAGCCTGCAATGAACCTGGGAGAGCTCTGAGAGGAAGCTACTGGAGAAAGCAATTACCAGGATCTTCCCTGTTCAAGTTAATATATATTTTTTTTTTTAGAAGTAACACTGCATAATTTACCATGCCTCTACATCCCCCTGGTTGATTTGGTTTCATGTACAGCTGAGCTCTCCTGAGCAGCATGTTCAAGCGTCCTACTTAGTGAGACCCCAAGATGTCCTTGGCTTTAGAGCCCCTGCTTGGGCAATACAAATACAGAGCCAACCTCCTCAAATCCTGCCCAACAATAACTGAAAATTATTTACTCCATAGGGCCACATTCTTACCTGCTTTAAGTAATGCTAGCCTCAGTCTGTGCAGAGATCGAGGGAAAAATAAAGGTAGGCGTTAGCACACAGCAGAAACAAGCAAAGCCCCATACCTGCATTTCCAACCATTCCCCCCCCCCCCCAAGAAGTTCAATTCCTTCATGAAGGCTTTTCCACCCCCACTGACAGCAAGTGGGGGGAGCTGAGGGCCAACACCAAGCAGAAGGCCTCGCTCAGCTATTGCACAGAGGAGCATTGGTACAGGCAACCCTCCTACTGCGTGCTGCTGTTTGCTTTAACGCTTCCCACTGAATGTCAACGGAGACGAAAGAATGACAAGTACACAAAGATACCCACAATAAATGCCAGCCCTTGTTAGCTGAGTAAATTGTGTGCTTAGCTGAGTCTTAGAGGAATCTTTGCAGAGTAAACACCGCCAGTGCTGTGTGCTAGAGTAAATATGTGAAGAAGACGCAAAGACACGAAGAACGACTTCACAGGAATGCAATTGAGTGGCACTGAATGCAATTCCACCCATGGAGAAGCATTGCTAGATCTGGGCCAGGAAACAGCTTGATATGCACTGAAATTCTGCTGCCATCACTAGTGCAGGAGTCCCTGTGCCCTCCCTGCCAGGCCTCACGCTCCATCCATCCCAAGAGCACAGAGCACACTGCTGAGCTCAGTTTCTTTCCAAACACAAACCTGAGCAGCTAGCTCGCATTGACCTCACGGGCAGCATGTGAAGAACAAGTCACAGACTTGATACAACTTGTTAACAAGCTGCCACCTTCCTTGTAGCACTGCCAAGGACACAGGCATCCTCCTTCACATGGTCTCAGATTTGCTTTATATTAACCTTTATTTGGACAAGGCGGCTGCAGCAACTCTTTGTGCACCCTCATCCAAAACATGGAGCTTCTGAGAAAAGCTCCTGCAAAACACTGTGTGTCGAGACACAGAACTTCACAAGGACTGAGAAACAGACACTTCAGCCAAACATCTTTTGCCACAAGTGACAGAGAAAACAGCACATTGAGAGCTGAGTCAGAATTCCTCATTCACATTGCTTTTGAAGCAACTCAGATGAAGTCACATTGTGCAGCTACTGCTTTCTTTCACAAGTCCTGAACACTCATTTCCCAAGGCTCCCTCCCAGGTTTCCCCAGAAACACTCAATATGACTTATGCTGATGACAGAATGACTGAATCTAAATCAAAGAGATAATGCCTTTGATAGCTTGCTTATCATTAATAGTAGACAAATTATTTTACAGCACGTGAAGGAGTTAATTCAAACACCAGAAAGAAGAGTACAGCCTTGATGAGTTTCTTTGCCTGTTATTTCTGCTGGCTGCCCTTCCTGTCCAAGGCAGGAGATGTGTGGCAGTGGGGACACAGAGCACAGGTTAGCAATGCCCCAAAACTCAGCAGTGCTCAGAAGAGGAATTCAGGTCAAAGCCAACCTCCGTGCAGGGCAGATGAGCACAGGATTCCGAGGCCAGCACCCCACAGTGGTTATTTCACACCACCTAGTGGCACTAGCTTGCCATGGCAGAGCTTCCCACAGTTCCATTGCAGTACAGGATTTGTCCATTTACATCAAACTCACAAAATCCCTCCAAAAAAAGAAAAGCAAAACAAACTGCAGGGCTTACCTTAGTTTTTGTAGTTTAGCGTATGGTGGTGTGACAAGAACATGATTGGTAAGAGCCACTGAATAAATTTATTTTTATTTATTTATTTATTTATATTTATTTTAACATGCTTGCAGAGCCACATATATAAAAGGTCATCACCATATCAGTGAGCACTTACCCTTTTACCCCATATCTACAGATGTAAAATACTTAATTACTTACTTGCACTACAAAATAAAGTAGCCATGACGTCAAGTCATCATTACTCATCATCTTGGTATTCTCACTTTGTTACCATGAAGACTAGAAGATTGAGATTGAAATTGATTTCATAAGCTGATTCGTATATTAAATAATTAAAGGTAATTCTTCCAAGAAGAAATTTAGATTACCAAGCTGCTGCTGGCTATAATAATACGTGAAATGGCATAGGAACACTCTTAAAGTGCATTACTGCATCTGAATAAATTGCAGCATTTACACCTCTTCAAAACAGAGGGCCTAACAAGAAAGGGATAGTGACCAGAGTACAAGTACATCCTATAAAGAGCTGAAATATATGCAAGGCAGAAGCCTTGTGTCATTACTCTATAAAGGTACAGCTTAATAACGAGGGCTTCATGAATACAAGACAGAAGGATTTCTTCAGAAGTCCACAGCGCGCAATGGCAGAACCTCCCCCTGTCCACTGAAAGTATTTGCACCACTCACATGCTTCTTCAGGTTTGCAAAAAGTATTTTCCATGTAACCATTGCCTAGCATAGGCCAGTATTAAAAAAAATACAAGCTTGTAGTGATAACAAAGCAGTTAGTTTATCACTGGCAGCAGATAAGTCTGATAAAAATCAACAAGATTCCAACGCAGCAGTACGTTAAGTTCATGGCTTTCTTCGCCTAAAAGAAAAGAAGGCAATCAAACAACTTTCAGATCTTACACAGCAGTCATTTTCTGTAACAGCAGTCAATAACTCATTTATCTGTTCTGCTGCATGCATAAATTTAATGTACTTTCTGTGCTGAGAAACACTACAAGCAAACTAAAGAGCTTATTTACCCAGAAACAGATGAATTCTGTTTTCTTGTTTTTAAAATAGCCATGGGCTTAAAACCGAGTTTTAGTTCAATTTATTAACTTTTAAAAAATAGAAGTTGCAATTCAATACACAGGAAAACTACGGGATTGACAACAGTACTGTAAGGCTGCTGCAAGGCTGCCAGTAGCAGCAGCCACCCTGAACAGGTTCTGTGAGAAGTGTGATGGAGTGCATATCAACACAGCAACAAACATTTGGGACCTTACCCAGAACAGGAACTCCTCATTTCTGAAACTCCCCAGAACACCTCGCCGCTACAGTTCTAAACCCTTTTTGTACAAATAATACACATCACACAAGAGATGAGAACCTGTGTTTTACTAATTCTTACTATTTTGATTCCAAAGATAATCAGTTTGGTTTGCTTTGGCTTTGTAGAAGCCTCTTTACCTCTCCAGCCCTCTCTCCTCCCTGTAAACATGTCTTGCAAAACTGCAAGTTGTCTTCCCCTGAGTTGAACAGGTGACTTCCACAGCATTGCCAGCACCTATCTGCAAGAGTCCAAACCTGGATACTTAGTTCTGTTCCGCAACATCGAGTTTAGCAAGACTAGATCATCTGCAACATTTCTTTTATAGGCAAGAGATTTTTTTTAGATGTCTGGTTCAAGAGTTAGGTACTAACTTTACCAAGTACATCCTTTCAACTTTTCCTAGAAATTGAGGCTTCTGATGTGGTAGGTGTGCTGTGTAATTGCAACTCTGATCCCATCACATTAAAGATAGATGAGAACCCTGACAAACTCAGACTTATCTATGCACCTCAAGAGGAAGAAAGATTCTTCTAGCATGACTACAGCCCATGCCTCCTCAGCAGATGCCTTAGCAGTTGCATAGCAGGTAGCAGCTAAAATATTAGCTGCATTCAGGTATACTATTAAGTACATCCAATGATTCCCTCAGTTTCCTCACTGAGGCACCAAAATGAATGGTGAGGTATCTGTAACCATATTTAAATTTATCTAAAAATACAAAGATGAAGGTTTTGTTTTAACTACATCAGAATCTGATAAAGGCTAGAGGGACTGGAGAAGAACGGTGCAGCCCTATGCCACTGTCACCTTTGATCCCACTCCAGTTGTGACCTGCCAGGCATGCTACAGTCCCACGCTTGCTACAGTCCAGCTAAGAGCACTCCGAATTGCTGCAGAAGGACAAGATCAAACCTGACATTCTGCTCACAGCACTAAATGCCAGAGAACGTGCCAGAACACATCTTCTGGGTAAAAGTCCCCTACAGATCTGTACAGTCAGTATTTCCAACACTCAACAAGCCTGTTCACTTCACAGTATAATATTAAAAGTGTATGCATCACAAACCCAAAGCAGGAAGGGCAACAAGGTGAAAAAAAAAGTGTTGTCTCACTTTAGGAGTTACCAGGAAAGAGAACAGTGCACCAATTAGAGAAGAGAGGCACTTACTTGGGCTGAGCATGATGCTGATATCCAGGTCCAAGGGCAGATCCCGCCCTCATTTCCACTGCCACAGAACACTGAGAAGACACAGAAAGTCAGTCTCTAACCCTAACCTGACCCAGCTATCAACACTAATCCAAGCCCTCATTGAGATCAAATGTGAGATCTCTCTCCCTCCTTTGTAGCTTACTCTGGTTTCCACATCAGTCCATTCAGAGTCTGCAGCATCCTCTGGTGGATCAGCATTGGAAGGTGATCTTCGCTTTCGACTGTAAGACAAGGATGAGGAAAAACAAGAAAATTTTACAGGAATGTCACTTTCTTTAAAGAATCTACAAGATTCTCATGCACAATAGAATACATTATATATTTTTCAATTAAATACTTTTTCCTCTCAACAGCACCTAAAAGCTCCTCAAAGTTACTTTCATATGATTTTGAGTTAGACACAACAACTTCTTACTCAGTCATTTGGAGCAGGATCAGTTACACATCAAACACTGAAGTTATACATTTCCAACAGAACCAGAGCCCAAAGTTAAGGGCACAACTCACCCAGTTGGAGATTCTTGCTTTAGAGTTTCTATCTCTGTGAACTGCACAGCCTGTCCACCACCTCTGGTTTTGAAAACATCACCCTGGGAGCCAAAAACAGTTAAGAAGTTACAGCCATGAGGTTACTGTGGCAGCTACACTGTCAGTTTTCACATGAAAACTTAAGCACTTACTGCTACAGCTTTCTTTCAAATTAGTAAGCATACACGTGCAAGAGTTCAAAGCTTAAGTCATCCCACCAATTTGCTCATTGGTTGTATGCTAGGAATTCTGTTATGGAGCAGTTGAGCATCCATCACTGCAGCCACCTAAATCAAATATCATTCCAACAAGAGCAACTCTGCAAGATTAGCTGCAGTCACAAGTCTAAGAAACTTTCATTATGAATGGATTATTGTGTTTTACTAGAGGGGAAAAAGAAACCTTAATTACTTTCAAGAAAGTGATAAAGTAATAAGTATGTGATGATGCATACATAAATGACAAAGTTCAAGAAAAGCATTTTCAGACTCTAAAACCTCCCTTGCATCCAACAGCACAAAACTTGCAAATCTCTTAGCACATGGAGTCAAACATACCTTTGTGCAAGGCACGAGCCTGTAGCACAAATACATTGCCAGAAATAGGATTTGACAGGGTTATCACAGGTTTACCACAGAGGTGTTTGCTTTACCTTAATTAGTTTTGTTTCAATCTCCCCATCAGAGGCTAGCTCCTGGTGCGTCAGCATGTACTTGTCACACTTAGCTAGTGCCTTTTCACTTGCAGCTGCTACTGTGATGGCATGAGGGACATGTGGCTGCATGACTGTGTCAGTGGGCAGATTAGAAGGTGGCTTATGATCTACCCATCTCTCCCCAGCTGAGCGCGACCGTCTGTGTCTGAGACGAACTGGAGGTGCATTCTGATCAGAGTGGGAAGAGAATCAGAAGAAATCAGCACACAGTAAGCTTCTCAAAGGATTATCATTAGCAAAACTGATTTTTGCAGGTCCGGTTAAGATGCACTTATCTGAAGATCAAAGCTTTGTTCCTTTTAGAATCCATCCTGAAACATACAGTTACCATGAACCTTGCAAAAAATGCTTAATGGATTTTATTTCTGTGCCAATTATTTCCCACTAATTTGATGTAGTTTTATCCAATTGGTTGCATTCCCTACACAGTAGGGTTTCCTCAAGAAGAATATCTTTCTCTTTAGCAGCACTCTTCCCAAATTTCCCAGATCTGATTGCCATGAACATATTAACCGACCTGAAAAGATAAATTTGAAAGTGTTTCCACAGATGCACTAATGGATCAAGATGTAATCTTGATGTAGCAAAGGAAACAGATTGAGTATGGCTTTTCAACATCTGTGGAAGACACAAAGCCTCTGTTTACTCAGAAGCATTAAAAGCAGAGAAAAAGGAAGAGTGCCCATTGCTAGCATTACTGCTTCTGAGCCCAGCTGCTAGAAATCTACAAGAAGCAATGGAGGTTCACAAATTTTTAACTTACGTTCATGAACGTTGTCAGTTGCTCAGGTAAACCAGAAAATAGTTTGCTTAAAAACCTGGGTCCTTTCAGAGTCCTCTAACGGGCATTTGAAAGAATACTGCAGGCTCTCTGTTCTATTTACTCACTAGTGTACAGATCTCTGTACATCACAGTGATGTTAAATAACCCAAAGCTATGAATGCAGATTTCTTCACTGTGCTTTCAGGAGACGCACAGCAATTGGGATTTCTCTCAGCAATGGACATGAGACTAGCTGTGTCCTTCACAGGTAGAGCTCTTACAGAGCTAAAGCAGCTTCTAAAGATTAAATGCATCTAAAGATTCCTGGCTTCCAAAGTTTTTCTACATGAAAATTAGGAATAAAACACTCAAGATCTCTCCTCTTTTTAGTGGAGAAGTGTAACTCTGCCAGGGTGCCCTAGAAATCTGGAAATTAAGTCCAAAGGAAGACATTACTACCAGTCACATTTTATTGCGGGAGAGAATACCTCCCATAATCTGATGCTGGTGATTTGTGCTTCAGTTAATTGGAACAGCATCTGCTTAAGCCACATCCCACACTTCAAAGGGCTGGGGCTAGCAAGTAACTGAAAACAATACCCAAAAAAGTGAAACCCACCATGATAAGCTTTCCTCTTCTTGGGAAGCCCTCTCAAGAGCTCTGATCCTGGGAGTAGGATGTAATACAATTCTCATGGATTTACCTGAGCCACTGTGACAGTTACATCATGACAGAGACAACCACCCGTACAAACACTTGCACACAGTAATTTAATGGAAAAGCATCTCTCAACTATAAGCAAAGCCCCCAGTTCTAATGCAGATGGGAAAAATTGGAAAAGCTATTCTAGGAGAGCAAAAGTTAACAGCTACTCAAGGGAGAAATTTGTCCAAGCACTATTTCTAGTAGACATTTGCATGTGGCTGGCTCATAAGACCACCTTTCAAGCTGCCCAAAAAGGACTATGGTAAGTTACAGGCTGTAAGATAGATTTGAGGAGACAGACAAATTAAAACAAAGACACTTAGAGCTAGGGAAAAAAAAGGCCCAGTTAGTTAAGAATTCCTTTCCGCAGCTGTCTACAGACTAACAAGAAATGGAAATGCTTTCTAAAGATTTTTAAGTGCCAAATTAAAGAGTAATAGCGAGACTCAACTTGGAAACAGTACTGCCCTATGAGAAATACATTTAAGGGAAAAGTCTCTTTTACACTCAACATAAGAGAGCAGTTGTGACGAACTTTTGAGCCAGACTAAGTAACACTACATTTAGCTTTTGACAGGAGTAGCACTAACCCTGCAGCATTGATCCTCTTCTATTTCTAGCTCATCTCTACGTTTGGGAACCTCAGTGATTCCAGTCCAGCACATCCCTCGCCTTCTGTCTGAGGTGTTACAGTCTCTACTTTGTCCTGGTTCTTGTTGTCTAGTCCTTGTTTTAGAATTGCCACCGGTATCCTTGTGTGAAGGGGTTTTCTGCTCCCATTCCATAACACAGGAAGCCACAGAAATGCTGCTACAAGAATTTGAACGTCTGTGCACCTGCTGGTTGCTCACGAGCCGCTGGCTGTTAGGAACCTGAGTAATAAAGTTACTAGAAGGCTACAGAGAATGGGAAAGCAGTTAACGACACAGAACTATCAACTCATAAGGCAATAAGACAGTGTCACTGCACGTAGTCAATATTCAGTGTAGCTACCCAAGTTTATGGTTTTGGAGAGCAGTGACAGACTAAGAATCAGATGTCCTTTAATATTGAAGGCATTAGGAAAGTAGGAGCACAAATAAAAAGACAGAATTCAAAAGCAGTTTAGACATCCAAATTCTGTGCTTGGGAAACATTTTCTAGTCACTAGAGAAAAGTGCTCTGCATTTTAGTTCATTCTTAGAAGTACACTTGTCCCTTTACCAGGGAGTGTTTTAAAGGCAACTTACAGGTACTGGTGGTGGAGAAACTGATCTCTGAATAGGCTTCTCTCTGTCTCTCTCCCGTGAAGGCCTCTCTGGCTTTTCACTCTTTGGTTCAGTAACAATGGCCTTCAGCTGCTTCAGTTTTTCATCTTTGACCCAAAGTTTGTTCTGCATTTCCAGCTGCTTTGCTGCTACACGACGCTCCTACAAAGACAAAGAGAAGAAAAACATTAAGTACTTTACACAAACACAGAGCATTTGGGCTACAAGTTTGTAGATAATTTTATACTCTACACGGAGGATATTCTTTCCCTCTGAGATACAAGCTGATCAAAGTAGTGATGTATCAAGCTAACAAGAAAAACTGCCAAGGTTATGTCTAATGCCATAAATATTTTGCTTCCTGAATCATGAGGGCAAATCAGACCACTGTCTAACTGTAGATCTGTAGATAGCCCTGAAGAAGTAAACAGCCCTGTAGTAGAGTAAATTAATTCCTCAGATTTTCTTTCCTTATTGCTCATGAAGTGCATATCTGAACAAGAGTTTACGTGAGGATAATGGGGAAAGCCTGATATTAGGCTTCTCCTGACAGCTGCCAGAAAAAAAGAACCACTCTTCAGAGAGCCATAAACCCAAAAGAACAAGTTCCAGATACCAAAACAAAGTGCACAAGAGAGCTGCTCTAGTTGCATCATGGGCCCTTGAGGAATTCATCCTATCATACAACATTTATAAAATTTAAGAAGAAAATGTCTGCTCAAGTCCTCGATTAAAAGCCAAACATATCATCACTCTTATCAGCATTAAGAAAACAAAGAAAAAGAAAATCCTTAAAAAACAATCAAGCTCCCCAGCTCCCTCCAGCATTACTCCCTTAGACAGCTCTCACGTGTAGGGCAGTATACTCACACACTCCTTCTCCCATTTCATGGTTGTTTCAGCAACCATGCCTTGCAGCCGTGCCTCCAACCTACGCTTGTCAGAAGCCTGACGTTGCAGTTTCTGGCTCTTGCTCTCTAGTTCTTGCTGAAGATGACGCTTATCTTCTTCATAAATTGTAGCAGTTTTCTCTAAAATCTCAATCTGGAAGAAGAGAGGAAGAACTTTGCTATACCACCAGGCAACGCAACCATCTAAGCCCAGAAATGCAGTTTACGTTTGCTTGTGCTTATGATGCATCTTATGATGTGAAGAAGATTGCCAAATGGTAGACAGAAAAAGCTTTCCATGCTTGGGAGCTGCATAGCTCAGAACAACGAAAGAAAACTAACCTTGTATTCCAAAGTTTTAATTTTCTTCTCCAGGCGTTCTAACTCTGTTTTCTGTCCTGTTATTATTTTCTCTTTTTCAGACAACTTTCCTTGAACGTAGTTTTCTTTGGACATAACATCGGAATCAAGTTCTCGCAGCACAGTTTTAAATGTAAGCACTGCAAGAGATTCAACATACTTTACTTTCTCATCCTTTCTCCTACTAACTTGACACTACCAGCTACTTCATTACCTCAACGAAAGGGTTTTTAAACCATCAACCTAGACAAGATAATTATTCCACATTAGTACAGAAGAGATGCTTGAGTAGCAATGAGGGCACCAAAAAAAAAAAAAAAAAAAAAAATCGAGCTCTACATCAGTGCTAAGTTCTTACCATTTTTGGCAAACTCCTCTGACAACTTTTGTCTTAGTTTATGGCGTTCTTCCAGGACTTCAATAAGCTTTGGAAGCGTTTGATCATCATTAATATCCAATAGCTCGCACGAAGGCAAGGGAGGAAAGTTCTGCAAAAATATTTCTGAAGCAGATTGCTCTTCTGTTTCTGTAAGATTTAAAGCCAAGGAAGTCTGTCAGCAAGCTAGAGAACAAAGTTCTCATTTGACAACGCAGAGCTACAGATCATTCCACAGAATTATGAAGGAGACAGAACGTAGAATTATTAATGAGAACTACATGTTTTCAGAATAGATGACAGTATAGAGAAGAGATTAAATGTGACATTTTTGATTCATTCCTTACAATACCTCCAGGCAAGTCCTAATTTCTAAAGTAAACCCGGAGCGTATAAAAGCATCAAAGCATTATCTTCAACACAATCTCTTTTCCAGAGCTGCAGTAATGGGACCCTGAATTCAGCCCATCATCAACAACAAAGAATTACTTTGAGAATCGTAGCTTAAGCCCAATTACTGTGTAAACAGTAGCACAGCATGAAAAGAGCAATTCAGGTGCAGCTACTACAGAGAAAGCTCACCACTAACTGTTAAAACGCAGCTCCTTGTGTGCTCTCAAGGCTCAAGCTTATACTTAAAGAAGCCTTCAGCCCCTAAGAACAGAAGAAAAGGCACGTGCTGTGAACACTCTGCATTTTCCTGTCTACCTCCATTAATTGGGCCACCTCGAATCTCCAGTTTCCTGGCCAGCTCCTCTCTGAAGGCCTGATTCCTGAAGCGCCGACCACACAGCGGTCTGTCGACAGGCCTTGCAACCTCCACCTCCTGTGTCATCTCTGCAAAACGCATGACTTGCTGCAAAAGAACAAACGCAAGCTCAGCAGTGCCATAAAACAGCAGCTGTCCAAAGCAAGTTTGAAAGTGATACTTTAGATCAATAGAAGTTTTAGCAGAGACATTATCAACACAGAATCTGAAGTGTTTCCCAGCTAGATAGCTTGCAAATCTGAAGTAGAGCATCTGAAAATCCTTCCCTAGTAACACCATCCCTCCCTTCATCCCTCAAAGAGCCACAAACCTGACTGTGCAGATATCTTAAGTTCTTGCAAATACTGTCCTAGTGGAGATAAAGCACCCAAATACAGCTATTTGGACTGTAAATAAGCTGTAAATAAGAGAAATTTCCTGTGTTGCACACAAGCATACTAGCATTTTTGAGAGGAAAAATTATGACTTACAGGACACGTTTGCCCTGTATTACATCTGATTGCCTGAAGCATTCAAACAGTGTAAGTTATCATCCCTGCCACCTACTAAACTAGTACAATAATTCAGAGCTAGATGTGAAAGTAGAGTAGGCAAGAATGAGATAAGAATTGCAAGAAAGTTACCAGGCTTTCCTCGTAGTCCTCAGCTTTAGGATTAACACATACAATCATACGCACTTTCCCTTCACCATCAAAATAGTTCTTGAAGAGATGAGTCAGTTTAGAATCTCTGTAGGGCACCATCTTAAAACAAAGCAGAAGGAAGATCTAGTAAGTTTTTAATCACATCAGCTTATTCAAGAGATAACTGAATGGCAGGTTGCATACCTTATTTGTTCCATACATCTGGTTTTCCCGTAGAACTTCAATACACGTTCTTAACGTCATTAATGACTGATTAATATTACCTTAAAATAATAATATAAAAAAATCTCTGTAAGCAGCTATTTGCATCAGATTTCCAATCTTTTATTTATTTATTTTTAAGATAAACTGTCTGTACCCGCAAGTCATTTGTTACTGACAGCCTTTCCAAGTAATCTGAAGTACACACAAATGCAATAAATGCTGCCAAAAATTCCAGTTTCCAAGCTGGAGAATTGAAGACCATCAAATGAGATAACCAAATATCATAACAGAACACTTTATGAATCTTCTTATGGTTTCTTTACCAGGAGACAAGATTAACACATTTATAGCCTAGTCTATAAAACTAACAGACTGTCTAAACATGATACATACCTGCTTCTCGCAACCTGTTCCCTTCAGCTTTTGTTCTATTTGTCCTTTCACTTCCAGCTAGATCAACTAAAGACAGCTGGCTTAAAGTAATCTGTTCCTTCTCCTGTTATGAGAAAGAAAATAGGTTAGGCTAATCATTAGCTCTATATTCTCTGCCTTCTAAGGGGGCACTGGGTGGTGGGGTGCAGGGGAATCTCTCTCACAACCCCAAGCCAGCACATTTAAACACATATTACACCTTCAGACTAAGATTGAGAGTGTTTTTTATAGCCTTTAATCCATGCCAATAGGGTTTTTGTGAATAAGTTTATCAAATCCATTGTCTTGTGGCACAAGATAGATTATATCAAGCACTCTTACTCAAAGCCTCTAAGTCATATTCTTACATTAAGACATTTTGCTCAAAAGAGAGGAAGAATAAATGAAAGAGCAGCATCGCTGCTCACTTCAACGCTCTATTTACAGGAAGGAGAGAAATACTAACTTTATAATTTTGATTCACTTCACCAAAAGTACACAAGTTTCAATATGCATAAGTTTAAGTCAGTAGGGCACACTGCAAGATTCACCACTTCTTCTCACTTCTATATCCATACATGCACACACACACTTCTCCTTTAACAGCACGCCCCAGAATTTACCTGCAGCACATTATCTCCATCTGCATCCAGAGGTGCCTGAGCCAACTTGATCATGAAAACTCCATGAGACCGACTGGATTCTCGATTCAGCTGAGTGTTTGCAATACGCCTCTTCTTCTGCCCTGTTTGAAAGAGTGACAACATTCCCTTCAAACACCTGCTTCACACAACAGATTTGCCACCTACCAAAGCCAGTTCTGTTTCCAGCGTGATAATGTAAACTCCATACAGATATATAATCTTTTAAGTTACATTTCAAGACTATTTACCTTTCCAAAAGACTTCAAAAGCTTCCTCTGTGGATTTCACCTCTACTTCTGTGCATCCCGTGACATACATGTTATGATTCTGGTCCTCACGAAGTATTTTGGATTGTGGAGGTCTTGAGGGCAAGGAAGAAAGGAAAGCAAAGTTTCAGTGGAGCTGGATATACAGTAGTATATCATCTCACGCAAGATCTTTTTTAAGTACACAATTCAGTCTAAATACATCAATTATCCACACAGTAGATGGAAGCAGAAGTACAAGGACACACACTCAGCCAAGATTAGTTACACTCCAGCTACTAATTTAGAAGCCACGTTTAATTGCAATTCTTACTGGAAATTATTGGTTTGTGTGGCATCTATTGCTTTACTACATGCATATGGCTCATATAGAAGCAAGATGGCTTCAACAGCATTCTACGTTAACTAGTAAAGCAAAGAAGAGATGAGGAGTCAGTTCATTTTCTGCTTCTACTAAAAGAATTCACTCTTCAGTATTGCGAGTAATTTGCTTAGGCACATACATAAAGTCACCGTTTCGCACAGGAGTGTTGCAATTGTTCCACCTACCAAAAAAACAGGATTAGAAATATTAAGACGTTCAGCCCGTGTCCAAAACCTTTTCATTTTTAATGCACTGCACCTTCCATAAATGGAAATAATCCAAGACTTTTCCTAGGCTGATTTCTGGATATGATAAGCAACAAACTAAACCAAATTTTATTCTTACTTAGAAAGCATTCAGATATTCAAACAACTGCCCTGGAGAATGCTCTCAGAGTTTCAGTGTAATGACTTGTTTTACTCTAGTTTAGTCTTTGTAGATTGGCCATCTCCCTAATTAACCCATGTACTAGAAGACGCACCTAACTTTCTTTAAAATTCTAAGTCCATTAAAGATATGTTCAAATAAGTCTGTTGATTTACAGACTGCCTTTCCAAAGATCACAAGATTCACTGGTCCTGGATCATGGCCAAGTAGATACCTTTCCAAAAAAAAAAAAAAAAAAAAAAACCATCCAGAATTTCATTTGAGACTATTCATCACTGTTGCTAAGGAAATGATTGGCACTGAATGGAAATAATACACAAGCTTTTGCCCAATATACAGTATTCCAGAGGAAAATGCCAGCTATGGAATAGCCTGCTCTTCAAGTCGTGGTCACAAGCTAGGAATAGCACTTTCAGAATATCTCCAGTAGACTTAAAACCTCAGCAGGGTACAATGCTGCCTAAGAAATTAAGTATTTACTTATTTATCTTTCATTACATTAGGAAAACAAGTACTAAATCTTAGCAGCAACAGAACAACTCAGCGCACTTCAATACCATTGTCTGGATTCCTTAGGCTTGCCTCATTTTCTGTGATTTTTGGAAGCAGTTCACCTGAACTGAGCCAGATTCACAGAGACTGCAGTCACAAAGACACGCAAACCTCACATACAAAAAGGATAACTTCTGTAAGTTTATCAATATTGCTATTCCTACTAACTTGGGTTTTATCAGGTCAAAAGGAGTCTCTTCCAGGAGGTCATAAATGTAGTTGTTGTAGATCTCGATGTAGGAGACAAAGACACTGTAGACATTATCTTCATCAACTTCTTCCACTTTGCAGTGATCTTGCACGTTGATCATATCAGCAAACTCCGGATCTACCTGTCTCCTGTTGATCACACACAGTAAGTGATTGTGATGGAGCACCCACAGCCAGCTACCTTGTCTGACTGAACAGCCAAAGAACAAAGCTTACTGACAGTTGGTGTGACTGGAGTATAGAAATACATTAGAAACTAAAGTCAACATATCCAGTTTCAGGTGGCACTCAGAAGAATTTAAATAGACAGATCCATCTATTCAGTACTGCTGTACTCAGCTCCAGAAAGAAGCACCTTGCAAAATTCCTAGACAGTTGACACTGGAATCATACACCACTCATAATCTCTCTATTTTGCAAAACATCCTCAAGTTTAACTTCATAGTACCCTATATAAACAGGAGGGGAGTCAACTCTTTACAAGGGTAGATAACAGCAGAACAAGGGGAAATGGTTTTAAGCTGAAGGAGGGAAGATTTAGGTTGGATATTAGGGGGACTATGAGAGTGGTGAGGTGTTGGAACAGCTCACAAGAACAGAAAGGTTGTGGATGCCCCATCCATCCCTGGAGGTGTTCGAGCCCAGGCTGGATCAGGCCCTGGGCAGCCTGGGCTGGTATTAAACGTGGAGATTGGTGGCTCTGCATGTGATGGGAGGTTGGAGATTCATGATACTTGAGGTTCATTCCAGCCCAAGCCATTCTATTATTGTATGTGGTCAAATCAGCATTTTACTTATGTGGAAACAGATATAAAAAAAAAAAAAAAAAAAAAAAAAAGCCTTATGTTACTCAATTCTAAAGCTTAAAAATCGAAGTATTTCCCTATGCAGTTTTCTATTCTACACAGAACATAATACACTGAATTGCCATGAATGTCTTCTGCTTATTTGTTGTTTGGTTTTTTTTTTCTTTTTTTCCCACAAGAATAAGATAAAGACATCGAGATAGCTTGAAATCAGTTTCAGAATAACATTTACATTAACTACTTTTTTCTGCCTGTTACAATAGTTACTTACTTGCCAGAAGGAGTTTTGGAAACAGGCATGGCATCTCTTTTTTGTCGCTCTAACAGAGCATCTACTTCACACTGAACATCCACACCATTCTTGTCATCAAGCTTAAAAACCTGAACAGTGAACATGTTTAGACAAAATAATGAAAAACGGTAGCGAACATAAGGTGTTGGCCAGCAAAAGACAAGTTATTTGATCAAGCTGTCTGGCAGCCAGCAAATACCACACCCCCTCACTAACACTCAATCTGCTACTAATTCCAAGTAGATTTGACAGAAAACAGGTACTTTCAAAACAAAAATATTTCACAAAGGCTGCCAAGCCAGCATGCTACCAAGGAAAAAGCTTCCAGTATTGTTCCAAATATATTTGGATTGAAAAAAAAAAAAAAAAAAAGACTTCTGAACAAAAGAAAAACATCATTTTCTATGTTACTTCAAATATGGAATGAGATTTGTCTCAAGATACCCAAGTCACAGAATCATAGCTCAGACTCTTCTTTTTTTTACTGAAGTAATTAAAAAATGAGTAACAATTAGAAAAACAGTTAAGACCATACATCATCTTGATATGTCTGTCCTAGATACCAGGCCCATCTCCTTGGTCCTGCTTCAGAAACCCACAGTTTTCTGGGGGTACTTTCTGTCATTGTTTAACACAGGAGGCATTCTGAACAGTGCTTTAGGTTGTTGTGAGCAGCAGAGTGGAGAATTTGGTACAAAACTACTCACAAATCTCTTGGCCTGGAACGGTCCTATGCTGTTGAAGATCATAGCCAAACACCGTGGAAGAAGCCCTCCATCACCAGGAGATCCTGTCATAGTGTGGGTTTTCCCACTGCCTGTCACCCCATATGTAAAAAGGAGACCTAGGAAAGACAGAAGAGTCCTGTAATCATTGCTTACAGCCTCAAAAAGCATCAGTTACATTCACACTGTTTCTTGGGTAAAATGTTCTTCTGAAAAAAGACTCCTGCTGAGCTATCTATCAGTAAGCTCATTCCAGTCCAGCAAAAGCCACTCTTAGTCAAAACAAGTACTGACCATCTGGATGAGTCACACTTCAACTGCTAATACTTGCCCTGTTTTGGAATCATGCATTTGGAAATGAAAACAAACGTGGCCACTAAACCCCAGGTGCAGCAGTCTGATTTACTCTGGCTGTTACAAGGGAGCTTGACGTTAACCAGATACCTCAAGTTATCAAAGTGTGCCTAGGACAAATTGATTTGTTTCTGTAGTCAGTCTTTAGGAGAATAACTGGCATCTTTCCCCTGAAAAAGATGTGTTTCTTCAGTTAAGAGTGCACAAAAAAATTATCCCTGGACATACAAAGCATGCACAGCATTACACAAGAAGAGCTCCCAGGGAAGTTGCACAGTGGAGCTAAGCCACAACTGTTTCCATTGCAAATATGTATATATACATATATGTATATATTTTATCTAGACAAGATAAGAAACCTTAAGACATGCAAAATCATAACAATACAAGAAGACGACATACAAAGAACATGACAGAAAACAAGGAAACCCTTACCGTTTTTCCCACGAATGAGATCTTCCACGAGAGGTTTGGCCACTACATCAAAAAGCTGCTTTTGAGCAACAAGGGTACCAAACACTTCCTTAAATGAATACTGCGTCTGAAGTAAAGAAGACACATCACCCTAAATCTTAAGTTCCCCGGCCCAGAAGTTTGTTGCTTCAAAATGCCTCATTCTTTTTCCCTTAGCTCAACAGAACAAACTACTGTAAGATTACACCCATGTTTGAAGACGCACAGTTGCTCCACTATAGCTCTTCTAATAATCACTTAAGTTTGTATATCAAAGAACAGCAACCTCTGGTTTTTAGAGCTTATGTCCATCAATAACCATAGTGATCAGAAATCCTGACCTCACCTGCAAATAAAGCTCACAACCTTCAGTTTCAAGCTCAAGTTTGTTTGATCCCCAACCTTCATCTACACAGGTACTGAAGGAACACCAAGGACACCGACAATGGATAAAGTCACGTTGTTCCAGAATTTAATATTCTTGCTTTTAAATTCACATCTTTTCCCAGCCCAGCCTGTTTCCAGTCATTGGTCTGCAATGTACTCGGACAGATCCAGCCACTTTTCTTCAAAACACTCGTAAATATTTAAATATCACTTCATATACTTCGTTATGGGAGAATCTGGAATTCAGAAACAAAAGTATCCTGCGTGCCAGCTAACATTTATTATGCCTTACCCACAGAGATTGTCTCACTTAGAACTAATGCACTTTGTTGGGAACCTGTAATTAGCCATTTCACAACCAAACCACGCTCAGAGCTGTAGCACTCTAGCTCCTCATTCTATACACATGCCCTAAAGTTCCCTTTCCAGTAAACGCAACAGCTGCTTGCTATAAGTGACCTGCCACCTTCTTCCTACTTCACAGCATTTCACTGCTTCAGAACAGCTTGGTTAGAAAAAACCTACAAAGATCAAACCCAACTGCCTGACCGTGTCAGGGTTAACCAAAAGTTAAAGGCTATCACTGAGGGCATTGCCCACTGACAGCCACAGACACCACCCACCCTGCTAGGAAGCCCATTCCAGTATTTTTGACCACCTCTGTAGTAAATAAATGTTTCCTGATACCCACTCTGACCCTCCATGGCACAGAGTCGTGCTGTTTATGTATCTCACTGGTTACAGGGAGAAGAACCCAGCCCACCCACTCTTCTCTCTTTATACATTAACTACAGCTTTCCCCTTCAGTACACACAGGGAAACATTGCTCATTGCTAAGCTTAAGGAATTACCAACTCTTAACTCATTCGTGCTGGATTTTGTTTAGAGCTGGTTTCTAAGAATCAGAGCTTTGTGAACAAACCCTTCAAGCAGTTTTGCCAGTTTTATCTTTTTTCCTCTTTTGCTCTCACCCTTCCACCCTGCAGAAGCCTTTTTTGAATATAGAGAATATAAAAAGACATGGAGAACCTGAAGCCTCCAAAAGGGCAACAGAGCTGCAAAGGAAAGGAGCCTTATGGGGAGCAGCTGAGGGAACTGGGATTGTCAGCTGGGGGAGGCTCAGGAGAGATCTCATTGCTTTCCACAAGCCCTGAAAGGAGGCTGTGGTGAGGTGGGGGTCAGCCTCTGCTCTCAAGTAACAGCAATGAGAGGTGATGGCCTGAAGTTGCACCAGAGGAGGTTTAGATTGGATATCAAGAGACGTTTCTTCTCCATAAGAGCAGTGATGCAGTGCTGGGGTCACCACCCCTGGAGGCACCCACAGAACACGGAGATGTGGCACTGAGGGACACGGGCAGCGGAGGGCTGGGTTGGGCTCAAGGATTTCAGAGGGCTTTCTACTCTTCTGATCTGTACAGTGATTCTGTATATCGATGCCAAAGGAAGGAAACGGTGCATTTTTGGCCAACGGGGCTTTGGGATTTGAAACCTCTCTTTTCTCACAGCACCGCCCACACAGCGCCCAAGGAACCCCGGCAGCGGGGGAAAGGAGCTCCGCGGGCCGTTACCTCCCGGTACTCCCCGTTGCGGAATATCCTGTATCCGTCGGGCGGGTGGATCTGCACCGTGCTCTCGTTGATCACCTCGATGCAGCACTCCTGGTCCGGGCGGCTCAGCGGCCGCACCCTGCAGTACACCTGTGGGAGGACACGGCTGAGCCACGGCGCTGCACGGCGCCGCTCGGCGCCCCCCGGAGCTCCGCACTCACCCCCACGGGGTCCTTCGGGCCGGGCGGCGACGGCTTCTTCAGCGCCGGCCTCCGCGGGGTCTTGGCCCTACTAGGGGAAGGAACGAGGCGTGAGGGACGGCCCGGACACCGCGTGGGACCGAACCGGACCGAGATGACCGGCCGCGGGACCGGGATGGACTTACGCCGCCTTCATGCTGCGGGAACGGCGATCGCCTCAAGGCCCGAACTCCGCGATGCCTCACCCGACGGCCGCGCGCCCGTTCAGTTCAAATCCAACCAATCAGCGCGTACGCTCGCGTGGCGTCATCACGCAGCGTTACGTCGGGGGGCGCCACCGCCCTTCCCCGCCCCGGGGCGTAAGCCGCAAGCGTTGCTATGGTAACGGCACAGCGCGCCGCCTGCAGTCGGAGCGCCCCCTGTCGGGCTGGGGGTGTGGAGGAGCGGTGCCCGGCGGGGACTGTTGAAAGAGATTTGGTCGAGGCGGTAAATAACCTCTATTGCGATCTGCCCAAAGCTTTTATTTCCAGATGTGAACACAGTGCAATCCAAACAAACCAAAACGCTTCTCAAGGCCGTCTCCAGGTGGACAGGACGTTAATTTGTTCCCGCTGGGAGGACCAGAGGGCTGCCCTGAGTCCAGAGCCAAAATACCGAGCGAAAAAACCAGAATGATGAACACAAAGTTGGCAGAGTCCTAAATCATGCCAGCTTTCTTTCCGGCTGCACATGTACTCGAGGTAAATAAGCTTTGCAATTATCAGCAATTATCTCCAAAGCAATTATTTTCACAGGCAGAAACAGAATGTCCAAAACAGGTTAGAATACATCAGTGCCACCGCTCCATTAGTTTCCTCTCTTAATGAAACAAACATTGAATTCAACACGTTGAATAAACAATTACATTCCAGTGCTTATAAATATTAATATCTTGGTCAGCTTTCAAAGGAAAGTTTGTTATCAAAAGACTTAGTAGCCCCGTAATATCTTTAACGAGCTGCTGTGTTGTCACTCCAAAGTGCATCTCTTCTACCTTGCGAGAGGTAATTACACACAAAACCAGTTATACACCCGTATGATTACTGAGAGATGGTGCTCCACAGCAGGCATCACTGCATCGCGTGTGCGGCTCCGGGTAAACCCGACTGACAGCCCAGTGGCAAGCATCCTCAAAGCCCTGCGGAGCTGTTCTACGTGTTGTTGGAGAAGTGATCCCCTTGGGAAGGCCGTTTGATCCACAGAGAACCGAGGTGCCCTGGATGTTCTCTTAGAACTGAATGGAAGGCAGGCTGTGGTCCGCCCCAGCCCCACACTGGTTAGGCACTTGGGTGCAGTGTCAGATAGTTGGGGTTATAACCCCAGCACCAGAAATGTTGGGCTCAGCCCTGGCACGTGGCAGCTTGCACTGCGTCCACATCCTGCCGTGGGGCTCTGCTGCTGACCAACATCACGGAATCACAGAATGGCTGGGGTGGAAGGGACCCCAAAACACCCCCAGTTCCAACCTGCTGCCATGGAGGGGTTGGGCAGGTCACCCAGAGCTCCATCTCCAGCCTTGGGCACCTCCAGCAATGGGGCACCCTCAGCTCTGGGCAGCAGTGCCAGCACCTCATTGCCTCTGAGTAAAGGATTTCCCCCAACATCTGACCACATCTCTCCTTTCTCAGTTTAAAACCACTCCCCCTGACAGCAAGGACACCCGTGTCTCTCCATAAGGCAGAACTGGTGAATGCCTCTTGCTCTGGAAAGCATTGGCACATATCTCCCTTTTGCAGAAAAACCGTTAAAGATTATTTTAAATATTTCTGGTGATGAAATATCAACTCGATTAAAAGCATTTCATAACCCATCCCCAGCCTGAAAGCTGTATGTACAAACACCAGTGCAATACGTTTCTCCCTTGAGGGTTCGCCAACAAACACTTCTCATAGAGCGCACGCAAAGAAACCCTGCGTTCACCCCATGCATCAGCTGCCCACGTTCTGTCCTGCGCAGCAGCAAACCAGGAACCCCCATCCTGCAGACCAGGTGCCCTACTGCCCATGCAGCTTCTCCCTGTGTGAGGGTTCTGGTGCCTGGCAGAGCTGCGCAGAGCATTGTGCAATGACCACCAACCCGATGGCCATGCACGTGCCCATGGGTGCCAGCACCTGCAGCAGCGACGTGGCTGGGAGCCGTGCCTGCCTCTCACTCATGTCCATCAGGATGGCTTCCAGCTGGAAGTGCGTGCCTAGGATGCCGCAGACGTGGAACACCTGGTGGCTGTGCCCTGCGGGGAAGCCAAAAGTACTCAAGGAAACTCAAGCTTTGTTCAAACGCGACCGCCAGAGACATCCCCTCCTGGAGCTGTGTTTGTAAATACGTGTGCTGCCTGACGAGGAAGCAAAGCTCAGCCTCCTGCTGCTTACCGATGTAGTCGAAGTGTCCCGGCGCGAGCCTCTCGGGCAGGTGGGTGGCAAAGATGAAGCAGGTGAGGAAGGCGAAGGCAGTGTGCCTGTAGTGGGCAGCGACCGTGGGATCCGCACAGCTCCGTGCTGCGCACAGATAGAACTAAGGGAGGTGGTGGTGGGACAGAGTGAGACACTTGGCCCCATTGGTCCCTGCATCACCAGCCCCATACCAGCAAAACGCTCACCCCCAAAGACATTAAAGTCCCTCCCAAGCCAAGCCACCAGCCTGTGACTATGATCTGACAGCAACACGCAGCATCAGTGAGTGCTGCGCCTGGATGGGTGCAGGAAAAAATAACGCAATCTCTTTTCCTGCAGGAGTTTGTTTTTCTTTTTTAAAAAAGGACATGTTTTCCCAAGCGCTTGCAGGCTGAGCAGCCCCGTGCTGTGAGCATACCCTGTAGAAGAGCGGAATGCTGTCGAAGAGGTACGGGTACACAAAGGCCAGCGTGCGGGACGCCTTGCTGAGCCACGGCCTCTCCAGCTCCAGGAACCTGCGTGGAGCAGAGCAGCACCAAGTGAGGCTGCAGCAGTGCTGGGGTCGGCTGGTCGCTGCTGCCACCATCACAGAGCTGCAGCGTGGTGTGCAATGCCCTCACCCTCCTGCTATGACTCCCAGACCAGGGGGAGGCCATCTCTCTGGCTGCCACCCTTGGCATATTTCCATCCATCAGCAATTCTTTTTTATGCTCTCCTGATTTTGCTGCTGATTTTTGCTGCCGTTCATTTGCTGTTTCCCAACAGCAGCAAACAACTGCCACCCCTGCTGTTGCTAACTGAGTTTTCACTCTTGGTTTTTGATCCAAGCTTTAAGAGCTAGGATTGCAAGCAGGATGCACCTGCATTGCTTTGGGACCTGCTGTGCTTTGGACCCTGCCTTGCTTTAGAACTTGCTTAGCTTTTGGCCCTGCTTTGCTTTGGGCCCTGCCTTGCTTTGTGGTAATGCAGCTCTCAGGCTGCAGCCACTGATGTTTGTTAATTAAGCTGTATTGCAGCTCGTGCCTGAGAGGCATGGAACATCTCTGTGTGCTTCTGTCTCACACCCTGCCAAGACTCTGCAATTGTCATTTCGGGGAATGCACGGAGAGAGTGACTGAAATCTGAGAGTTAATTAATTTAACCAGTTGCTTTTTTTTATGGCATCAGCCCTATAATAGATGTAGGAGCCTGTTGGTTATCATCATACCGTATCTGAGGCAGAAAGCCTATGTCTGGATGGGGAGTGACATTCTGCATTGTGTTGCCCAGGAAATTAACTCTGGTGAAACACTGCAATGGCTGAAATCACACAGTAATTGAAGAGCCGTCCCCCAAAATAAAGCAGCAGTGGAGCAGTGGGGCTCTCCTTGGTCGGATCCAGATCTCACAGAACCTCCTGGTGCCAAAACGTGGGGCACGCGGACAGGAACAGCACAGGGCCCCATTCACAGGCAGGAATGCCTTCTGCTGCAGCAAGGAAGCACAGACAGGTTTGTCTGCTCTGTGCGGGAGACTCCAAACCCGCAGGCATGAAAGGAGCCCTTGTAGGGCTGCTGCTCCTGTAGGGCAAATCGCATGAAGGCCATGCGCTCTCATTGCAGCCCATCCGTGTGTGCTGCCCACCTGGCCATGCTGCTCCTGTGACAGAGGTGATCAGCCAGGAATTGACTACATAAAAAAAAAAAACCCAGCACTGAGCGTGCAGCTGGAATGCAGCTGAGCCATTGAGATATTTTTTAGAGTTATTCCAAACAAATGGTCTGAGTCTGCTCGGGAGCCAAACACGGCACACATACTGCTATCCGTGCCGTAGGACTGATGCAGGAGGGCTGCGGTCCCTCTTTGCAGCTCTGTAACACAGGGCTGGAGCCACGCACCATGCAAAAATACCTCTTGGGCTTTCCAAAATTAAAGCAGTTGTTCTGCATTCTGTTTGTCATGCTCTCCTGGTGCCAGCATGCAGCAGCACAAAACTCTCTTCTTTCCCTGCCTTGTTACAATACAGCTACCAGTCCCAGAGCTCTATTAGTGACACTAATTAATGATTATGCTGAAGCAATTGGGGAGGTACAGCAGAGGGCACATACCTGGAGTAGCAGGCCAGGCTGGTGCTCAGCACCGTGTTGAACACCGCGATGGGGACGTAGCAGCAGTGGAAGATGCTACCAAGCCATTCTTCTGGGAACACATATGCTGAATACGCCACGGCTGAACCTGGATGGGGACGGGAGGACGTGGTGAGGAGCTGCCCTCTGCCCAACAGGGGCTCTCCAAACCCCAAATCCCATTTCACCGGTGTTTGAGCCAGCAGTGCCCCAAACCCCTCCATCCCCACAGAATTCCTTATCCCGGGGTGAACCCCCCCATCCTCACCCAAGCTGTAGATGCTGAGCGCCGCGTAATCGAAGAAGTAGCAGATGTGCCGGGCGCGGGCCGACATGGGGCTGAAGGTGTGGGCGCAGCTGGATGCCAGTGGGTAGATGCAGCAGCTCAGCAGATAGGCGAGCAGTGGCCAGGCGGGGGGATCCCGGCCCCCCGGCCCCCACAGCCGCCCCACCAGCATCCACACGAAGTACCTGTGAGCACAGGGTGAGCGTCACACCCGATGCGTCCCCTGCCCCAACGGCGCAGTGACAGCTGTGAGACGCACCATGCAGGGAGGAAGTGTGTCCAGATGTTGAGAGTTTCGTTGGTCATCTGGAAGGCGCTGAGGACACAATCAGCTGCTGAGATCCTCGGGGGGCGATACCCGCAGAGGATGCCTTGCTCCTGGTACCCCTGTGAGGTACAGAGTGGTGGCAGTGTCCCCCAAGGGGAGGTCTGGCCGTCAGCACTCTGGGTGCACGGTGAGGGTCCCGCATCCCTCCCAGCCCCAGGGGATGGAAGCTACCCTCTGACCTTAGGCACTTGGTGAATGCTCAGCAGTCGTGGCAGCTTCAGGCTCAGCATTGCGCCGTCGGGACCGCGGCTCTGTGGGATGGTGCCTCACATCCCTGCCCTGGGGATGGCACCGGGAACGGTGGGGATGTGGCTGCCCCGTGGCGATGGCTCTGCACTCAGGATGGGTGGCCTGGGGGACACAAGTGTTGGTGGGATTGTGCCTCCAAAGCAGCAGTGCTGAAGGCATGGATGTTAAGGATGGAGGGTGGCACCCCCTGCAGCCAGCATGAGGCTTCGTGGGGTCCCCCACTGCCACTCAGACGGGGACAGGGCTGGGGAATGTGGGGCTCTCCCCACATCAGACAGTAGGGAACACGGAGCAATCCCGGCACATCCAGCACTTACCCAACTGCACTGTCCCTCCGCTCCCTGCCTGCACCACAAGGCTGTGGAGTAAAGGTGAAGAAAGCTGAATTCCCAGGGTGGAGAGCAGCAGAGCTGTGGGCAGCACCCTGCTATGTGCCCCACTGCACCCACGCCTCCTCCTCGCCCTCCCCATAACCTCTCAGAGCGTGGATTCGTTGGTTGTTTGCTGCTGCACAAAGCGGCCACAGAGCCCTATCAAAGCCCCTTGCTTCCTTCTCCCAGTGCTTCCCACTGTGTGCCACTGCCCAGGCTGTGTCCTGATCCCTGCAGATGGGGTTGGGGGCACAGGGGGTGCCCAGAAAGAACAACAGCCAGGAGGTGGTTAACAAGGGAAAAATTAACGAGGCGAGAGAGCAATAAACCTGACGTGGAATGAAGTTGGAAATGCCTTTAGTTAAAGATTAGTCTCCAGTTAGGACTCTTGGTTATTGCACCAGCAGCGTGCAAGTATTTGCATTCTCCACCAGCAAAGGCACAGAGCTCTGCCTGCTCCCGTCCCCACTGATAGGAACACAAATGAGCTCAACGATGGGATGGAACAGAAATACTTTTTCTTATCTTGGAGATAAGAAGGTGCAAGCTGTGTGGCGAGCTGGCACCAGGCACGCGCTGGGCTGCAAATACATGGGGGTAGCAGCTTGGTTTGCAGGAGTGAAAAATAGGGATGGTGAGAGGGGTGGGGGCAGGGGCAGGAATGGAGAGAGAGACAGGAATGGGGACAGGGAAGGGGTTGGGAACAGGGATGTTTGCCCATGCATTCATGCATCTTCTCCTCTTGCCTGGCTACAAGGAACAGCCCAGTGCAAGGAACAGCAATACGAGCATTGCCCCACTGCATGCAAAACTTCTCTGAGTGGCATAAGGGTGCCTAGGATGACAAAGTGACCTCAGCGAACTGAGAAACGAACAGAAAATGATGGGTGGCTGCAAAGTTTCCTGCTCCCAGGGGGAAACACAATGCGTTGGCTGGGGGTGACGTGGTGGGGACAGCGCCTGGGGACAGCTGGAGGGACCCAGCCTATCTCAGCAGGGAGCTCCCCAGCTGCAACAACCAGTTTGTGTTTTTATGAGCAAAATGAGTCACTGGGCTGAGGCCACAGGAGCAGCAGGCACACCCTGCAGCCCCACTCCTTCCTGCTCCAAGGGCACATTTGGTTAGACACAGGCAGTGGGGCAGGGATGGGGGACATCAGCCTGGTGGGAAGGACGGACATACGTTGAGCTGCGATCTCTGTGGCAGCAAGCTGCAAAGCCTGGAGGCGTGTTGCAAACACATCCTTCTCCTCCTCCTTCTCCCCCTATTCCTCCTCCTCCTTCCCATCCCCACGGCCATGCGCAGCCCCAACGCGTCCCCATCGGTGTGTCAGCTCAGTGTGTGCCAGTGAAGGAGAAGGTATTTTAGCTGTTAATTGTTAACTTTTACAGCTTTCTTAGAGCAGCACAGGAGCAGGACCGGCTGAGCCACAGAGCTGCTGTGCAGGGGCTGCTGGCACCATTGGGTTGTGCACAAGCTGCTCGGCGGTACCCAAGCCGAGCTGGATACCCACAGCTCTTCTCCACCAAGAGAAGAGTTCCATCTGCCCCACGTACAAACCCACACATTCCCAGGCCTTGCACAGCCGGAAAGCAGCAGCACAGCAGCACAGCAGCACAGCAGCACAGCAGCCGTTGGGATAGCAGCACAAAGCGCAGCGGCGGAGCAGGGCGAAGCGAGCGTGCCGTACTTACACAGCGGCCGGGCGCAGGGCTGGGCGATGCCGCGCTGGCGCCGAGCTGTTGCTCATCTGTGTACAAACAGAGCCCACATGGCCCAGCGATGGAGCTGCATGGGAGGGGACGGTGGGACGGGACGGGGCCGCCTGGGGACGGTTCCCGCTGGGCGCGGGAAGGACGCGGGGAGGTCAGCGCGCACGGTTGGGTTGGAGCCAAGGAGTGCTGGCCGGGCGCGAGGGGAATGGGGGAAAAAAATAAAACCCACAACAAAACACCACCGGAAATCGCCGCAGCCAAACTCTGTCGGATCGCGCTCCGATCGGCTTCAGCCAGGCTGGGAGGAAGCAGGAAAAATGCGAGCTGCCAGGCTGCTCCCTGCGCGCAGCTCCCAGCCCCGCCGCTCTAGCACCGGAAAAGAGCAGAAAGTTGCTCAACTGTCTCCAAGGAGACTGGAAAAGTGCAAAGCGCAGTGTAGGGAGGGACGTGCTGCTGCCCAGAGGTGTCCTCGCATCGCTCCCCTGGTGTTGCATCGGACCCCTGCTCCGCATGCAGCCCTGCGGAGCTCACAGCGTTCTTATAGAGCGGCAGAGAGAGGACTGGGAGTCACTGGAGAGCACTGTGGCCATTACTGTAAAGAGCCGAAGGAATGGCGTGCAGACATATCCACAGCCATTACCCTCAGCACTGCATCCAGACCTAATGCACCATTCACACAGCATGGGGAGAATTAATGCTCCCCTCAACCCGTTCAGCCCAGCCAACGTGGACAGCGTGAAAGCATTTCCCAGAGCTGTGTGAGCCATCTCTCCTCTCCAAACAACACGTTTGAGTTTGCTTTGGGAGCACAGGGTGGATGCAGAGGTGGCTGGGCTGGATGTGCTCACCTGCATCCAGCTGTGCAGCTCTCAGAGGATGCTGCTGCTGACCCCACTGCCTGGTGCCACTGTCCTCAAAGTGCTGTTGGCACTCAGTGTGCACTTTGAACCATTTCCTGCACTTCTGCCTCTTTTCTCCTCCACACCATCTCCTGGTTGTTGCTCCGAGGTGTCCCCAGCCCTGTGCCATGTCACCTTTTGGGACTGCTTATCTGGGCAATGCCTTCCGTGAGGTGGCATCGTTGTGCCCTATAAGGACAGGGATGCAGACGTCTCCTACTCACCCCTCTCCTGCACGGCAGCTGCTGCCTGCCAGCACTATAACCTGGCAGCTCCCCTTATGGTGCCAGCCCCACAGCACAGCAAAGCTTCCCAGCAGCAACCGGTGTGCTCAGTTGGAAACCAGTGGAAACTCCCCCAGCTATAAAAGGTGTTTAACGAGCTCGGGGCACAACCCTCGTGACATTGTTTGCAGCTAAATAGGAATGGAGCTGACAAGCAGGCACGCACACGGGACAGCACTGGAAAGAGCTGAAAGCACGGGTCGGCCATGGGCTGCTGCTGCCTCTTATCCCTGGAGTCAAACCAGCAGGAGAAGGCATTTGCAGTGGGAAAGATACTCGTTGCACAGCACAGATGTAGGATAAAGGTCACAAAGCAAGGGACATGGACGGAGCACTTGGTGACACAAAGCTCTGCGGTGATGCACACCCAGCCCAGCTGTGCACAACCCCCATGTGCACCAACACCTCCCAGCTGTGCACACCCCCACAGCTGTGCAGTCCCTCCAGAAGTGCCCAACCCCATGCAGGGACTGCACAGCCCAGGGCCCCCAGCAGCCCAGGGCAGTGGTGCTCCTCCATCCTGCACATCCCAGCCCGATGAAGATGATGGTGATGGCTCTGAGCACATTTGGTTTTTTTCCACTGTTTAAATTCTTTACATGAATTCCACAATCACACCGTGGGCTCTCTCAAAATTCTGGTGTAGGTGCAAAGACCAACCATGGGAAGGGCCTAAAATCTCAGGGCAAAGCCACCCAAAGGAGGAGCGGAGCCATGCACTGCTCCCAATCCTTGCAGACCTCGTGGAGGTGCCAAGGCAGAAGTGGTTAATATTTAATGCAGCTCCAAGTCTGCATGTTTAATTATGCCCATTTAATTTATTGATGTGGTCTGCCTTGAGTTGCAGCCCTGCAAAACTGGATCTTGCCCACAGATGGGGCAGAACGATGGGAACAAAACCTGGGGACGTGCCAGCCTAAAAACCCATCCTATGGGCCAATGGCGCCTTGCATTGGGAAGTGCTTCCTCCCACCCTCCTCATCCTCAGTGGCTTCTGGCCACAGTGCCCAGCACAGCCAGCTCAGCCCTGCCATGCACAGAGGGCTCAAAGCATTATGGAGCCCAGTGCTCTGCATCCATAGTTAATGCGCTGTGAGCAGCTCAGCCCCTGGGCAGGGGGAGGTGGCAGCTCCTCACCAGCTGCCTCTGCTGACAGAGCCTCGTTTGAAGGGGAAAATACGAAGATCCAGCAGCACAGCTCGGGGTTAATGGGATCGCACCAATCTGTGCCGGTACTGAGGATAAAGTGGGGATTTCCATAAGAAGGCCTCTTTATGATCAAATTAATGGGTTAGCATTCCCCACCCAAGCAATACCATTTGGATTTTGTGTTATTTTCCCTCTGGTAATGGGCTTTGCAGAAGCAAATCTGTTTAGGTGCTCCCTGCACACACGTGCCTGCAGTATCTGAGCTGGGAGGCAGCAGGGGCAGTGCTGGCACCAGGAGCATCCCCAGGGCATTGGTTTGCACAGATCCCAGCTCTGGAGGACTGCTGGGACATGCCAGTGTTGGAGAATAGCTGTGATTCTCCCATTAAAAAGCCCAAGGTGCTGCACTCACCAGGGTGAAGCCCCAGCATTCAGGAAGGTGATGCAGAAGCATTGTGCAGGTGCAGGAAAGCCAGCCCTGCCTCACCTGCTGCGTTATTCCAGGGTGTGAGGAAAGCACTATTAGAGCCCTCCACCTGCAGAGACTGCACTGTGCACTGGGGCTCTCATGCATTTCTTTCATGGGGGCACAGGGCACCACTAAACCGTGATGGTTTAGAAGTGAGTGCCTCAAGGCCATGGCATTGCTTCAGCCCAGGATGGCAATGGACGAGCAGGGGGACACGCTCAGAGCCGTGGCCCCACTGATGGGGGAGGGCCAGGAGGCAGTGATGGGCCCACAGGATGGGGGCTGCGTGCAGAACAGGGGATGCTTTCCCACTCTTGCACTCCTGTGTGGTTATAGGTGCCATACTGGGTGCCACCTGTTGCTCATCCTCAGCTAAACCGCCTGCGAGCCATTCCGCAAAGTGCTGTGAGGCCATGCAACAAGAGGAGCTGTTAAAACACTCCCTGCCCTGATGGTGAGTGTTCAGGATGGCTTTGAGCCCTTGCACTTCACCACGACAAACGTGAGCTTCACGTGACACAGTGCAATGCACAGCTTGGCACCCGAATGGCTCCTTCCCATGCAGGAGATGAGCAGAGCGCAGACACCGCTGTGCAGCATTCAGGAAGCGCAGCGCAGCCATGGGAGCCATCAATCACCCTCAGCAGATGGTAAATGCATCTTTCACCACAAACTGAGCAGCAAACATTCAGACCCATCACCAAGACAACATATGTAAGTCCTCCTCCATTTTTCAATGCATATGTTTTTAACGAACTGCAAAGAAAGGGGAACCTCTGATTTCCCCCATGCCCACAGGAGGGGACCCCAGCAGCTCCGCTCTGCGCACTTCCAGGACTCCAGCTCTGCTTCTGGTGAGTCCTGGTGACAGGTTGCACATTGGGACTGCTGGAGCAAAACCTGCCACCTCATTCTGGGTCAAAACCCTTCCAAATTCCCCATAAGGAGATGCCTCAAAGGCCATCAGGATGGCAGGTTCATGGCTGGGTGATGCACTGGCTGTGGTGGTGGACTCAGCCATCTCTTCCAGCCTCAGTGAGCTGCAGCCATAGGGAGGCAATGAAATAACACAAGCACTCAAGGCTTACCTTAAGATAAAAAAAAAGAAATTTATTTTACAATCTTATAAAGCAGCTTTACATGAAGCACAAACATTGATCCATTTACTTTGTATATAAACATAGTAGAACCTTTCCCTCTGCAAAAAGTCACGTCTCGCCGTATATAAAACTAACATGTGCACATTGTGCTTAAACTGCAAAGTCTGTACAGCTTTACAAAGGACCACCCTTTACAAGAGCATCCTGTAAACAATTTATTGCATATTTAACACATGGTGTATACCCCACATGTAAAAATGTAGAAAAAATAAAGTACAATTACAAGGTGAAGGGAAATAGCAGCTTTCGGTGAATGTCTTGCACAATGGCTGAGAAAACAGCACGGCCACACGCATACGGTTGTGCTTGTGTGTCACTGGTGTGCATACACCACGCCTCCAATCAGGTCTATGTACAGCGAGCCTCACGGGAACGTCGAACTGATCTGAGTCCCCAAGACCTTTGTCACGTTGACCACTGGGAAAGCGCAGGAATAAAAGTCATTGACTTCAGCCAAGTGATGGGCGCCCACGTCCGGCCATCCCCTCCCAGCTCTGTACGGAAAACACGAACCCAAGAGGAGCCCTCACACCAAAACCCTTTGGCCCCACAGCCCCTGGGGGCAGCGGGCTGATGTGACACAAGTGCCAAGGCCAACGGGAACGCAGTGTGGGTATTAAGGACACGGTGTGCCCAGAGCAGTGGCACTGCCACCGACCCACCCCAACACAACCATCACTGCCATGATCAACCCGATATTAAAAGCAAGAAGAAAGTAATTAAATAATAATAAAAAGAGGGCACGGTGGCCTCAATAAGGCACCGGCACCGCTGCAGAGCAGCGCCCTGGAAGTGTCTCTCGCTTCCCCAAATCCAAAATGGGCAAAAACCAGAGGGGATGCACAGGGGGAGATGCTCTGCTTGCAGCGAGGACCGGTCGCTGGAAGGAAGCACGTCGGTTGGGTTGCTTTCTCTGTGCACACGTGTTAAAAACAAAACAAAACAACACTAAAAATAAAAATCAGCTCTGCTAACTTTGGTATTGAGATTTCTCCTGCGACATCTGCTTTTCACATTAAGCGACACGATCACACAGCACGCCTTCGCAGAGATCAAGTAATTACAAAGTCGCTTCAAACATCTGCAAGAAAAAGCACTGAAAAAGCAAGAAAAGCAAACAAAAACCAAGATGCACGCCGTCCTCACGCCCAGCCTCTCCGCAGTCTGAAGCAACTCTGTCCTCTGTAGGAGCACCTTAAGCCAAAGCACACCAACACCTGCAGCATGTCAGGGGATCAGTGGAAAAGCCCCGCAGCGATACATGATCGCAGCACGCCAGGACGTGTTGGCAGTTTTCGTGCCTGGGATGGGAGAGCAAAGCCCAGCACGCCTGCACAGAGCTGACGAGCTGGTGTTTGCTGTGCTACCAAACAACACCATTGCCATCTGATGATGC